TTTTTTTTTTTTTTTTTTTTTTTTTTTTTTTGTTTTTTTCCGTGTCCGGCAACGGATCACAACCCTCAGTGTTGCCCCCGGACCGGACCGGGGACCGGCAACGGGATTGCAACCCTTGGTGTTGCTCCTGTGCCTCGCTCAGCCAGTGAGCGGGAACCGGTCTGTATGTGGGATCCGAACCCTCAGGCGGGAGCGCCGCCGTGCTTCCCAAGCGGCGCACTTATCCAGTGCGCCACCGGGCCGGCCCTGACAACATTTTTCTGTAAAGGGCCAGACAGTAGGTATTTTAGGCTTTGTGGCCATGTATGGTCTGTTCTATCTGAGATTTTTTTTTTTTTAAAGATGACCGGTAAGGGGATCTTAACCCTTGACTTGGTGTTGTCAGCACCGCACTCACCCAATGAGCTAACTGGCCATCCCTATATGGGATCCGAATCCATGGCCTTGGTGTTATCAGCACCACACTCTCCTGAGTGAGTCACGGGCCGGCCCTATCTCAGATTCTTTTTACAAACCCTTTAAAAACCTAAAAACCATTCTTAGCTCAAGGAATACAAGACAGGCCAAAGCAATTAGTAGTTTGCTAACCCCTGCTCTAAGATATTCTAACTAATTACATAAACATTTATTGAATTTCTAATATGAGGGTACTTCAAAAAGTTCATGGAAAGATTCATATTATCTTTCTATTAAATTTTATTTTTTTATTATCTTTCAATTCTATTTTTCCATGAACTTTATGAACCATCCTTGTATATGATGAGTTGCATTCTAATTACTATAAATATACAACACTCAATCAACATTCTATGTGCCAAGCATTGTTCCAGCAATACAAGATAGAGAATAATTACATGTCCGAAAATGAAGTCCCTTAGCTTTATCAGAAACTTATTACAAGGTGGGCATTGTACCAAGTACTTTATAGACATTCATTTATCAGATATTTATTGAATCCCTGCTATATGCTATTAGCTGTGTTAGGTAAACAGTAGTGGAAAAATATTCTCAATCTATATATCAACCTTATAAAATAGGTAGTATAATCATTTCCACCTTACACCAAGGAATTAGGTTTATTAAGTATAAATAAATTGCCCAAGATCTGAAAGCTAGAAATTGAGAAAACTAGAATGTAAGCCCTAATTCCAGCATTTGAGCTTTTAGCTATTACAGTCAGTCCACTGCCTCTCTAACATTAGTGTGAAGTGGACCAACCATTACCTTATGTTTCATTGTGTACAAAACTTACTTGGAGTAGTGGTTGCAATTCTTTTCTTTTTTCCAGGTTTGGAAAATCCATCTGCATAGAGAGACTTCTTTTTTTCAGAGGGTACCTTTAAGTTTTTATTGCCTAAATCTAAAGATATAGAACTAATGAAGGATTTCAAAAAACTTCTTGGTAAGAAATTTCTTTAAGTTAACAGAGCATTTTTATATGATAGGCTCTGCTGAGGTGGTGGCAAAATGGTACATAAGGAACACAAAGAACAAGTTTTAGCATTACTACAATTTTAGCTCATATGCTTCTAGTAGGCAGAAATTTTAAGCTGTCTGTATAGATGTTACATAAATATTTACCACCAGCCACACACACAAAAAGTTATATAACAAAGTAAAAATTTTCCAGAATTTTTACTATGAACATGTTACTATTATAATTATCCAAATGATAAAAGTCACACAATCCCAGCAGCCAAAGAAACACCATCAGCATTTTGGCATGTTTCCTCTGCTTCTATACTTATTTGTTTTCAAAATCCATTTGAAATCATAGTATATATAAGGTTCGCTATTTCCCCCCACTTACCATAATCATTTTCCAGATTCTGGTTTTTTTTGTTTTGTTTTTTGAGCTTAACGGAACTAGTCAGGCAAGGAAGGAAAAAAGCATTCTGGGCAGAGGGAACAATATTTATACATAAAGATGTGCTATAGTGAAAGTAATGATAATCAGAGAAACTGAGGTATTTGAAATTGCTGAAGTGTAGGTTTCATAAGAGAATGGAGGGAGTTTAGAATAGGACAGTTTGGATCCCTGTACCAGCCAGCTGCACCCCACTCCCCCGACCCTCCCTAAAAGAGAAATAGTTAGAATAGGATAGGTAGGGGGTTAAGTATGATATGCTATAGAGCTGTGACTTTAATCTTACAAATATCAGAAAGCTACTCAATCTGATATCTTTTTCAAATTGAGGCAATATATTTAAAAATATGCAAGTGGTTTTCAAGAAGTACAATTTATAAAGGCAATGTCATCCTTAAGGTTCCTCAATTCATCCATAAAACAAGGCAAAAGAATGCTTTAACAGAGCTGGAAGGGCTGCAGGGCCATCTGCTTGGATCTTGGCTCTAAAACCAGAGAGGGAAAGTTCCATGACAAATAGGGTATTTATATACAGTAATTCCTCACGAGATACTTAATTACTTACAAATGGAAAGAAAAGTAACTTCACAGAGGAGCAGCTTAGCAGATACCACCATAACCAAGTGACAGAAGTTAGCATGAGAGGACAAACCAACACCTGTGACTCCTGGGGTGCTGACTGAGAACACCACAGCATAACTCTGTGGGAGTCCTCCCAAAAATGTATAATCTGAATTTAACCTAACCATGAGAGCACCTTAGATAAACCAAGTTGGAGGAGAAAAAGCTGGTCTATATTAAAAAATGTCAATGTCCTGAAAGACAAAGAAAGATTAAAGAACCATTTCAGATAAAAATATACTAAAGAGACATAGCAATAAAATGCAAAAAATGAGTCAAGATTTTTCTTTTGCTTTAAAGGACACTACTGTGACAATGGATGAATTCAAAATAAGATCTAGAGATTAGATTAGCATTCCTCACACTTTCTAGTCTCAGTATCCCTTTATATTCTCAAAAATTATTCAGGACCCCAAAGAATTTTTGTTCATACATCTATGGGCTACATTAGATATTAAAAGTAAGACATTTAAAAATATTTATTGACCCCTAGCAGTTTTTTTTTTTTTTTAAGTTACTCAGCATACCATTTATTCCACTTTTTCCTGAGGAAACTGCACTCTCATCTTCTTGGCTCTCATCTGGAAGAGAAGGAACTGTTGTAGTCGTTCTGAGATCCTCGTTTTCCTGCTTTTCTTGATTCTGGAATTCAGTGAGATCACTTATTTTTATCTCTGAATAATCCTGCTACAATTTTTAAAAGAAAATAACTTATTTAGATAAATAAGTAATCACTGCCTTTCAAAGATAGGTACCAAAATGAGGGGAAAAGGAGTTAAAGGAAGAAAAGTAGGAGAATAAGACTTCTGAGTAGTGGATTTGGTTCTCTGCCTCACCAAGTGTCATGAGAATGTGAATTTGGGAATAGGAGATACAAGGGAATCTTGCAAGACATAAAAGAAATGGCAAGATTTGTTCTCTTAGGAATGATAAACTAACACTAAGAGATCTAGACAGTTTACTTACCCAGGGACTATATGAAACTAGAAAATAAAAATTAGGACCATGTCTGGTAAATGTTACATTTGCATGAAAGGATAAGATAGAAGAACAAAATCAGAGTCTATGCAAAGCAAGTGAGGGAAGCCTCTAGCTAATCACATGACCATGCTGCAGAAAGACTAACTACAAAGTGACCATCGGGCCAGGGGAAAGTTAGGAAAGAAAATTTAAAAAAACCAAAACCATACTGTTGTTTTTTTCTTTTCTTTTTTACTGTACCTCACTTAAGTGAACAGTTAATGAATGTTCATATTTATTCAATAAATATTTAATTTGCACCTAATAGCTTTTTCCTGAGTGCCAGGCCCGGGGGTGCAATGATGAATAGCCCAGACCTGGGTATGTACTTTCAAGGAGCTTACAGCACACAGGACATCTACCACCAGCTGGTGTCATAGGAAATCAAAAAAGAAAGTTCCCTAAGAATATGCCAGTTTTGACACAGATGGTGGCTGATTTTCAGTTTGTCCACTTACGTTTACCTGGGAGTCAGGGTTCCCATGGACTGCCTTGTGCCTTCTCCTCGTTTTGGTGACATGGCTAACCAGCTCTCTCTCAGCTTGTTCCTGGCTGCTAATCTGTATCTCATTCTCATCACAAGAGGATGCAGAAGTTTGACTTTCATTCTGAAAAGAGAGACATATTAATCTGCCATGGCCTTTGCATAGTTATAATGCTCAGGAAGAATCAGAATTTAAACTGAATAAAAAACACATTACATATGCAAAAGATAATTTCTTAAACTCTCTAGCACTAAATTATAGGCAAGGACAAGAATTATAGAGTATCTTAAAAGAAATAATTACATTTAAAAACCTAACCTAATAATCTAGGCTGGAAAAGCATTCAAAGTTACCTTAGTGGGAATAAATAAGCAAATTATAAAAAGGTGCATTAAATTATTGGATATATACTATGTGCCAGGCACTATGTCATAAGCTAATAATTATAACGAATATTACAACTTTACTGGGCTAAGTATTTACATGAATTATCTCATTTATTCCTCAAAGCCTATGAGACAGGTACTGACATTATCCCCCAATTCACAAATGGGAAACCAAAGCTTAGAGAGTCCAGTGGAACTTATCAAAGGTAAAAATTAAGGAATAAGGTGAGATGTATTTGCATGATCGTAAACTAAAAGTAAAAATCTATAAAATAGTCAGGCCGGCCTGGTGGCTCACTCGGGAGAGTGCGGTGCTGATAACACCAAGGCCCCGGGTTCGGATCCCATATAGGGATGGCCGGTTCGCTCACTGGCTGAGCGTGGTGCTGACAACACCAAATCAAGGGTTAAGATCCCCTTACCGGTCATCTTTAAAAAAAAAAAAAAAAAAAAAAAATCTATAAAATAGAAACAGTATGGTCAGGTACCAGAACATCCAAAATCTGTTTATATAAGAAATCATTGTAAGATAATGGTTGCACTTAATATTAGTGGAAGGAATGTTGGATTCACTATTCAACACATGATGCTAAGAAAACTCATTAACTATAAACTAATTAACTATGTTTTTTATAGTTTTGGTCATTCTTTCACACCAAAATGAAATCTGGACGAATTAAAGATTTAAATGTAAAAAAGTGAAACTATAAAAGCATTAGAAAAAAAAAGTGAATATATTATGAGTGTGAGAAACGGCTTGTTAAGCATGTTAACTTACCTAGAACTACAAAAGATAGGCTTAATTTGATTTTAGTGTTTTTGTATTTTTTATAAGTAAATTCTAATTTTCTTTTCTTTTTTTTTTCCTTTTTGTCTTTTTTCGTGACCGGTAACGGGATTGCAACCCTTGGTGTCGTGCCCGCACCGCGCTCAACCAGTGAGTGGACCGGTCTCTATATGGGATCCGAACCCTCGGCGGGAGCGCCACCATGCTCCCAAGCGCCGCACTCTACCGAGTGTGCCACTGGGCCGGCCCATTTTTCTTTTTTTTTAAAGATGACTGGTAAGGGGATCTTAACCCTTGACTTGGTACTGTCAGAACCACACTCTCCCAAGTGAGCTAACTGGCCATCCCTATATAGGAATCCAAACCCTTGGCTTTGGTGTTATCAGCACTGCACTCTCCCAAGAGAGCCACGGGCAGGCCCCTAGTAAATTCTAATTTTCTGAAATAAACTAATACATACATGAGGCTAAAAAAAATTCAAATACTAAAGAAGAAATAATGAAAAGCAATTGGGTCTCTGCCTGCTGTTGCTATTTTTAAGGCCTAAATTCAGGTGTTTACTTATGTATCACTAGTAATTTACTGCTGGGATATTCGTATTTTCAATAGCTGTTTTTAGTGCCTATCATCTGCTAAAATTTAGTTTATTCGTACTCTCATTTCACTGTCTTCTTTCTTTTTTTTTTTTTTTCCTTTTTGTCTTTTTTTTTTGTGTCCGGCAACAGATCGCAACCCTCAGTGTCGCGCCCGTACCGGGCCGGGACCGGCAACAGGATCGCACCCCTCAGTGTTGCACCCGCACCTCGCTCAGCCAGTGAGCGGGAACCGGTCTGTATGTGGGATCCGAACCCTCGGCGGGAGCGCTGTCGCGCTCCCAAGCGGCGCACTGCAGCAGTGCGCCACCAGGCCGGCCCCTAAAGAGACACTTTTAAAGTACAGTTGGCTCTCCATATCTGTGGATTCAACCAACTAAGGATTGAATATATTTGGAAAAAAGAATTGCATCTGTACTCAACATGTACAGACTTTTTCTTGTCATTATTCCTTAAACAATACGTGTAACAACTATTTATATAATATTTACATTGTATTAGTTATTATAAGTAATCTAGAGATGATTTAAAGTATGTGGGTGGATGTGCACAGGTTATATGCAAATTCACCATTTTCTATGAGAGACTTGAGCATCTGTGGATTTTGGTATCCATGGAAGTGTAGGGGGGTCCTGGAAGCAATCTCCCCCAGATACCAAGGGATGACTGTACTTACCACTCCACCCCTGTCCCCATATTAGCACAGTATAGGACATGTCCTGTAGTTGGTTTAAATACCTGTCAGTATGATTCCCAGGGATGTCTTTCCCATGCATTTTGAGCATGGTATGTTAGTCTGGGAATTTGACAATGATCAGGGAGCAGTGTGTTCATTCCTGAATGTACCATGATGTACCCTGTAACAGATTTGTCTAAATCTAAGACTGAAGAGGCACACCTGGTTCAGATAAGGGAATCACCACCACACAGCTAAACAAACCTATATTTGGAGCTCTCCCAACTCATAGTTAAGGCTGATCTGCAATAGAAGAATTAGGCTTCCAGAATGTCCAGTGTCACCTTCACTCAAATATAATGCACAACTGTACTCAGGTTTGGAAGCTTATACATCTGTCTATTCTAGGTAACATTAGTGATCTCTGCCATATATTTGGACTGTACTGACTTGCTTCTGTATGCTTGGATAAACAAACTTTGATTTATCTAAGGATTATCTTTATCAGGTTTTTTCACACATTTAAGCTCATTATTAAAAGATTCACCATTTAGGAATCCTATATCTGACTGAATTTTGACTATTATCCTGCTCTTGTAAAAATTTTCCAAAATGGAATGGTCTGAGATGTTGAATTTGAAGTATTAACAGATCAAGTTTAATTTAGTCTATTAATTAGTACCCAAAGTAAAATCTTGATTTCAGATGGCACTAAAATCATGTATCCTTAACCATTAACCACTAAAAAAAAAAAAAAAAAAAGATGGATAATGATTTAGTTGATGTAGAAACTTTTAAAACTGGAATTCAATATTAATCCTTTTTTGTTATCTATTTTCAGCTAATTAAAACCTTGAATCAAAGAAAATTGGATATGTAAAGTTTTGAAATATTTATAAATTAAAATATAGAGTTATAGATTATTAGGTGGCGAGGAGGAAATTAGATTTTCAGTTGTTCGTATTTACCTTCATTTCCAGATACATTACTGATCACTCCAAGGCCCAGTCCTTAAGCCCTTTCAACATTTTCCTCTATTTCAAGTTAAGAATCTGGCCTATGAAACACTCATTTGATCATTTTATCAAAAAGGTTTGGGGCTGGCTGGTTACCTCACTTGGGAAAGTAACAGTTCACTTGCTGGTAACACCAAGGTCATGGTTCGGATCCAATAATGGCCAGCCGCCAAAAATAAAAAAACAAAAAAGTTTGGAGTGGGTCTGATGCAGCCATAACAACCCCTCCCATTAGACGTGGTTTACAGCTTACAAGTCACTTTCACAATCCCTGCTTCATTTGATTCTCACAATACTCAATTCATTAGAGCAGGTAATACTATAAAGAAGAGGAGTTTGAATTTTCCAAGGCTACAAAGAAAGAAATGAGAGCTGCTACTTAACCTGGGTCTTTCTGGTTCAAATCCAGTTCCTTCCCTACTCATTTCATGCTGTTTCTCAACATTTGGCAACTAGTACTTAATCTTTGCATTTGTATGAGAACATCTTATTCAACAGATTACTTGTCATAAGGCAGTTTCACCATTCATAACAAATAGTTGTTATGAAAGGATTCATTCCTTGGCACTAATACCATAATTATCTCTTTGGTAATAAATAGCATGTCTTAAATGATCACTAATTGTGTGTTAATTACTTATTAACTCAATATAATTGTTTTGCTAGCAAATAGGTGAGGATGAAAAATATTACCCACCTGATTCTCATTTTCTTTTCTTGCTTCGTGTTTAAGGTGGGCTTTCAGGGCTTTTAACAACTTGTCCGCCTGCAAAAAAGTCCTTACTATTAGAGCCAAAAATCAAATAAGCAAGAAAGATACGTTGAACATTTTCTGCTATTCCTAAATTCATCATCAACTGTACTCTGGCCAGACTGTAGGACTAGAACTATTGCCTAGATAGAATTTGTCCCTACCCTCAGGGATTTCACAGCTGAGCGGGAAAGTCGGACAAGGAAAGAGGCAATTGCAATACAGTGAGGTAAGTGTCCACTCAAGGAAGTTCAGGCTGTCATGAGAAAACACAGGTGGATTTGGCCAAACTTTGGACTGCTAGGGTAACTGGACAGGCCAGTTCTCAGTTAAAGATGTGATGGCTTTAGCTGCTGAGATCTGCAAGGTGAAGAGGAGAGAGTTGGGCATAGAGAAAAGGATAGAGAAAGCATGGGAAAGCAACAACGAGAGTGGAGCTTGAAGAACTTTAGTTCAGTGTGGCTGGAGCATGGAGCTGTTGGAGGGGATGCTGAGAGATAATGTTGGGAAAATGTGCAGGGGCCTGATCTTGCCAGGCCCTGTAAGCCTCTTAAGAATATGAGCTTTCTTCTTTTCTGTTTTCTAACTCAACAATCATTGAAAAAGAATATGAACTTTATCCTCAGGGCAAAGGACAGTCTGAAGATATTGCAGCAGAGCAGTGGGCAACCAATTTTGCATTACTCAGAATACTCACTCTGGTTGCACAATGTGCAGGATGCATTTGATGGGGATAAGGCTGAAGAAAGGGAAACAGCTGTTGTAGGAAACTGGAGATGTTTTGGCCTGAACCACAGCCAGGCTAAAGCAGTAAGGATGGAGTCAAAACCTTCACAGAAAGTAAAATCAGTACAATGGGAGTTAAAGAATAGGGAAACTTTGTTATGCCCAGGTTTCTGGCTTGGGCAGCTGGTGGTGTGTGGTGAGGGTCCCTAAGATGGGGAATACAAAAGGCAAGGCTGGACTTGGGAGGATGGTTACAGGTCCCTGGAGGGGAGGGAACTCCTAGCTTCTCTTCCCACCCTAGAAAATCTCCCCTTCTTATTCTTTCCTGGAAGAGGAATACTAATCTGACTGGTTACATTTTCTTGTACTTTAAAAGGTCTAGTATATTTGTTGGGTTCTCTTTTCTTCCTCTTCCACTCAGCCATGCAGTTGAGGGCCAGAGACTTCCTCCTCAAGGTGGGCCCAGCCACAGGCTTGGCTCTCTTATCATTCCATTTATCGTTGACCATATGTCCAGTAGAGAATAGCAGAGATCCTGAAATTTGGTTTGGGCTTTAGGGGACAGGAGCGGTCTTGCTCAGGGTGTGAGCTGAAGCCACAGCCTCCAACCCACTTTATCAGAATGCTCTGCACCATTATTAGCAGCACCCTAGCTAGTATAAATTGATACCTTATTTTCTACTTGTTGTTCCTTGAACCTCTCTTGGGGTCTTCTCTGGGAAGAGGATTGGCAGGGGTAGGGCAGATCAGGCATTCTTGATTGTTCCTACTCTAACACCTTTTTTTTAAAAAAATTGACATGTAATAATTGTACATATTTATGGAATACAGAGTGATATTTTGATACATGTATACAATGTGTAATGATCAAATCAAGAAGGTAATTAGCATATCCACCACTGCAAACATTTATCATTTGTTTGTGTTGAAACATTCAAACTCTTTTCTAGCCATTTGAAAACATACAATAGGGTTGGCTGGTTAGCTAAGTTGGTTAGAGCATGGTGCTGATAACACTAAAGTCCAGAATTCAATCCCTGTACCAGCCAGCCACACACACACACACACACACACACACACACACACACACACACAACCCAAAATAAATTATTAAGTATAGTCACCTAGCACTATTATAGAACACTAGAAATTATTCTTCCTATCTAACACCTTAACATACTATCAAAACCTTACCCAACAGGCAATAATGGTGAAGTGAGGTGCCTGTGGCAGAGCCGAGTATAGACATCTAGCAGGTTGAGTGATATGAGGTGATGCTCAAGAGCTGTGCTGGGCACTGTTCCAGGCACTAGAGAGACAGTGGTGAACAAAACAGACAAGGTCTGTGCCCTCCAGGAAATTCTAGCAGTGGACTAGTAGGGAAACAACCTATTAACCAAATAAAGTAGGAAAAAATGATAGGACATCAGGCACTATGAAGCAAAAATAGAGCTGGCGACTGGGGTGGGGGTGCGACTTGAATTTAGGATGGTGACGAAAGGCCTCTCAGAGGTGATGAGCCGAGCTGAGCTGAGATGCGAATGAGGGAAGAGGCAGCAGGTGAAGCTGTGGGGAAGAGCATTCCAAGAAGAGAGAACACCAAGCACAGACGTCCTGACATGGATGGATAAGCCTGAAGGACAGAAAGAAGCCAGTGTGGCAGGAACGTGGTGAACACTGGGGTGAGTGGAGGACAGGGAGATCAGAAAGGCAAATAGAGGCTGGATTGAGCAGAGTTACACAGCGAGGAGTGTGGATTTCTTCTCTGTAACCCGTTATTAGAAAAAATGTCAGGCCTATAGAAAACTCATAATAGTGTAATAAACATTCATATTCCCCACCTAGATTCAAAAATCATAGAGATTGTCTTATATTTGCTTTCTTTCTGTATTAATATATATATATAATTTTTTGGCAGTTGGCCAATACGGGGCTCCAAACTCGTGACCTTGGTGTTATCAGCATCACTCTAACCAAGTAAGCTAACTGGTCAGCCCTAATATATATTTCTTTCCAAATTTAAAAGTAAGTTTCAGAGATCATGATACTTTACCACTAAAAACATGAGCCATAACTCCTAAAAATAAGAGGATATTTTCGTACATAACATCTACTGCATTATTATACCTAGGAAAAGCAGTAATTTCCTAATATCATCTAATACATAGCTCCTAATGAAATTTCCTTGATTGTCTCCAATTTTAGATGTTTTCCATTTTAAGAAAATTTCCCTCCAAATCAGGCTCAAACCAAATTTCTCTCATTGGGAAGAGTTTAGATTTTATTTTAGATGTGAGGCATGTCACTGGAGGGCAAATGACACATTCTAAGTTTCAAATATCACCCCAACTACCAAGAGAATACTATTGTGAAACAAGAGTAATGGCAGGAATCCCAGTAGAGAGACTGAGGCAGTGGTCAAGAGATGAGGATGCTGTGGCCCAGGTTTGCAGCACTGGGGTGGTACCCAGAAATCACATTTCAGGTGTACTCAGGAAGTGCTGACAAGGATGGGTGGGGGTGGGCTATGAAGGGAGGAATCAAGGGCGATCTAAGATGGGCCCCAACCACTAAGACATGGAGGAGACAGTCAATGTTTGGAAGTGATCATGCTGTTGAATATGCACTTAAATACGCCAGTCAGCAGCTCAGGGGAAAGGTCCTACTAGAGAAGCGGATTTGGGAAGCATTAGCTTCTAGATGAATTTAAAGTTAGGTAAATGGATAAGATCACCAAGGGACAAGGCACAGTTAGAGGAAACAAGGCCAAAGAGAGAACTGTGGGCACTCCACATTTAGAGATCTGGCAGAGGAAGAACCAGCTAAGGAGACTAGAAAGGAGTGCTAGTAAGGCAGAAGAAAATGAAATATCACAGAAGATGAGGGCAAAAAATGGTTTGAGATGAGGAGAGTGTTCAATTCTGCCAAATGCTGCTGATAGAAAGGGTGAGGATAGAGGTGGACCACAAGCTTTGTAAGATGGTGGCCTTGAATAAGAGTAATTTCAGTAGAAAAGAACAGAAATGTGGCAGTAGATGGGAGGAGGGCACATTAGGAAAGGATATTTCTTTTTCATTAAAATGGGTGATACTAAAATATGGTTGCATGCATTATGGCAATGAGTCAGCAGAGTGGGAGAGATGATGCAGGAAAGAGGATCTAATTGCAGGAGTGTAGTCCTCTGTGGTCCTAGAGGAGGTGAGAGGGTCAGAGATCCTCAGCATGAATGGAAAGGTTGCCCTAGAACAGAGCCTTTTACTATAATAGGCAGAAAGGCAGAGCATGTGGCCACAGGTGCAGGCCAGCTGGAGGGTTTGGTGGTGGAAAGATGAGGTATTTCGCAGCTGATTACATCTATTTTCCCATGAGCTATGAGGAACAGTCATCAGGGAGGGGCAGGGAGCTAATTTGAGGTGAGAAGATAGGAAATAATTGTCTTCAAAAGTGGGAAAGTGGGCTAGCTGGTTACCTCACTTGGTAGTGTGTGGTACTGATAATACCAAGGTCAGGGTTCAGATTCCCTACTGGCCAGCCACCAAAAAAAAAGAAGTGGGAAAGTTAATGATACAAAAAAAGTATGAGGATTAAATGCCCATTTTAAGATTTAGAGTCATAAATTTAAAGTAAGTTCAGTCAATAAGGTTAGGTGATATTCTCCAGCCAGGATCAGGTATAGGCAAGGACTAAGCACATAACTGGGTTTATCTATTTGTTTTGGCAGACTGGCTGGTATGGGGATCTGAACCCATAAACTTCTAGGTGTTACAAGGCTGTGCTATAACCAACTGAGCTAAATGGCCAGCCCTTATAGTTGGGCTTAATCAGGCTTTGGCTTTGCCAGGTGAGTATAGGGAGGTGCAAGGATTTAGAAATATTCCCAGTCTTTGTAATCTAAGCTTGCAAGAAGGGAAATGAGGGTATGAGTGAGAAGAGAAAAGATCCAGTGGTGACACAATAAATATTAGTAACTGACTCCATTTTGCTTTACCATTAAGAGAAATACCTTAAAAGAAAGAGCTAATATTTCCTCTTCTTCATTTATTTTTAATGATAACATACTGGTGGAATTTATTTAAATCAAATTCTGTTAAGTTTTAATCAAATCTTGACAATTTCTTAGAACAATTTATTAATTATTTTTTTTTTTTGCAACGTACTTAGAATTTAAAAAGTCAATTGATTTAATGAGCTCCTGGGGTATACCAACAGTAAATAATTAAACATCCTATTATGGAAAATTTCAAACACACACAAAAGTAGAGAGAATGGTATAATGAACCACTATATATTTATCGCCAGTTTCAATAATTATCAACATTCTGCTGTTCTTACTTCATCTGGTTCCCCCCTCTTTTTCCTGGAGCATTTTACAGCAAATTTTTACAGGCATCACGACATTTCACCTTTACTAAGAGATAAAGATAACCTTTACTAAGAGATAAAGTTTTTTTTTTTTAAAGGAGTCATAACCACAACACTATTATCACACCGAACAAAATAAAAATAATACCTTAACATAATTTAATATCTAGCCCAAGTTTAATTTTCCTGAGTAGTCTCCAAAGTGTCTTTTTACAGTTGGTTATAAAAGCCTTGTATGGTCAAATCTGTCTAGGATATAGTACATTCTAACAAGTATTTATTGACAACTACTATGTACCAGATTTTTTGTGCTAGGCATGCAATGGGGTCTATAGTAACAAGAAATACTTTATTACACCACCTTTATAAAACCAGTTATTAGGGGCCAGCCAGTTAGCTCAGTTGGTTGGAGCATGGTGCTGATAACACCAAGGTCAAGGGTTCAATCCCTGTACTGGCTAGCCGCCAAAAAAACAAAAAAAACAAAAACTAACATTATACTAAAAACAGTAATTGGCTACCCCAGATCAGGACTTTCAGAAAAAGATCTAAGTTGCAGTAGCTGTTCAGAGATTCCAATTGTTGTGGGGCCTTAATGTTAGCCAAAGCTCAGGTGAGAAGCTCCCCTTAACTTTCTTGTCAAGTGAACTAGCTTCTGGTGCATTATTCTAGCACTGCCAAGAAGCAGTTGTAAATAATAGTCCTGAATGACTATTCAGCATTTCCTACATAAAATGTAATGCACTTAGTGCTGTAAAGACTTCCAAAGTAGATGGATAAAATCCCTGTTCAAGGAACTTAACTTTTAGTAGAGAACATAACATACATATACAGATAACCAGATTGGAAGGTGGAACCTGGCAAGTTCTCAAAGAGAGTACTATACTTGAAAATAAACTGATTTAAAAGCATTGGGGTGGTGGATCTGAGGCCAAGGGAATGAAGAGGGGACGAGGTGCCAAGTCAGTGATACAAAGATGAGCAGCTGACACAAAGATGGGCAGAGGTGCCAAGTAAGTGTTCAGGGGATGCAGCCTTGGATAAAGATTCCAGCTAGCAGCAAAAAGCCCAAGGGATTTATGCTAAGAAATTAAAGTTATATTCATGAAGTATTGAGGAGCCATTAAACACTACAGCCCAGAAATATCTCCAAAAACACTTCTTTATCATTCAGCCCCAACGGGTACCCGAATCCTGATTATTTTGTTTAAACTATTTAAAAATATTTACGATGACTGATTTAGGCATTCATTCAGTGTAAATATCACAGCCTGCTGTACAAACCTCCAGAGTATACATTAGTATTATGCAGAAAATCTCAACTAGCATATATAAAACCCCAACCCCATGTTGAATCCCCACATTTTCCCCCAACATCTTGCAGCTTGGAGTCAAAGACCTTACCGGTTTTAAAAGAGAACACCACAATAGCGATCAGTAAATGAACGATCATACTAGATCAGGGCTGAGTTATCCACGGGGGTGGTTCCCTAAAAGTCATTCTTTCTGCCAGGTCCTCCAATAAAGCAAGAGATTATGGGCACTATTACAATTTACAGAAGCGTTACTGTTAGGAGCTTCCAAAAGCCGAGTCTATTATTTCTTTTCTTTTCTTTTTTTTTTTTTTGTCTTTTTTCCGTGTCCGGCAACGGATCGCAACCCTCAGTGTTGCCCCCGCACCGGGGACCGGCAACGGGATTGCAACCCTCGGTGTTGCTCCCGCGCCTCGCTCAGCCAGCGAGCGGGAACCGGTCTGTATGTGGGATCCGAACCCTCGGGCGGGAGCGCCGCCGCGCTTCCCAAGCGGCGCACTATCCAGTGCGCCACCGGGCCGGGCCGGCCCCCGAGCCTATTATTTCTTAAACTGCCTAACAATTAACTGCAATTAATGTATTAGACACAGCATTCCTTGGGCTTTCTGGTCCTGCGTTTCCTAATTGATGCCCTGGGAAGTATCAAGGTACTTCCAATAAAATTAAACCAAACCAACCCTTTTGGAGCAGAGGCGTATGTGAACCCCCAGAAAAATTAACCTCAAAATGAGGTGAAAACTATGGCTTCTATTCCGTTTCACACAGTTCTAACTGGGACCACCGTGAACAAAATCTACCGTCCCAGGGGCGAGGCAGCTGCCTCAGCCTCGGGGATTCCCGCTCGGTCCTTTCACATCTCGTCTCCAGAGGCCCCGACCCTGTCCGCCCAACGGCCCGCACCCCCGACCCCGTACCCTCAGGTTAGCCCGAAGGCCCAGACTCTTGGCTAAGTTCTGCAGGTCACTGTACTTGAAGGAGTCCAGCTTCTCCAGGGAAGGGACGGTCATCGCGATCCGCAACACAGGTAATACGCAGAGGATCAGTTCACTAACTCAAGCAGCGCCGTTCAAAACTCTGGCGCTACTCTAAGCGTTAACCAAGCAGAACTTTATAGACGGTTTAAATGAGAGATGCTGCACTTTCATTGGTTGAAAATGCCTCGAAGGCGGGGTTTCTGACGCTGACCAATGCAAAGGCTGATTTCCCGCCCTATCAGACGCACGCTCTACCCCTTACGTCACCAACACGCAGGCAACCGAAGGGCGTGTGAGGCGAGTCCAGGTAACTGGTGCGCGGCAGACACACGGCCCATGACGTCCAATGAGAAGGTAGGAACGGCGCTTGGGGGGCGGGCCTGGTGCCTATTCGAAACAGGCGGCAGCTGCAGGAAGATGGCCGTTCCGCCTCTCCGTCATCGATCTCGCTATGCAAAGCTGCCCGCAGGTGACTGTGATGGCGCTAAGAAGGCGACTGACGAACCTTCTCTTACGACTTCCCTGGAGTGGGACACGCAGGTGGTGATGGGGTCCTCGCCACTCGGCCCTGCGGGGCTGGGGGCGGAGGAGCCGGCCGCCGGCCCGCGGCTGCCGTCATGGCTGCAGCCCGAGAGGTGCGTCGTATTCCAGTGCGCGCAGTGCCACGCGGTTCTTGCCGACTCTGTGTATCTCGCCTGGGACCTGTCGCGTTCCCTCGGAGTCGTGGTCTTCTCTAGTGAGTTGGGGCTGCGTTTCGGGAGGGCGGAGGCGGTCCCGAGAAATTTTATAGCCACGATGAGTCTGCCTAGGGGGGAAATTTTTCTTTTTAGGGAGCGCAGAGGTGTGGATTCTTATCTGTGTTTGTCTTCTTAGGAGTCACAAATAACGTCATTTTGGAAGCGCCCTTCCTATTTGGCTTTGATGGTTCGTTCAAAGGCAGGTACGTAATGAATACCCCATCGGTGTATAGTTCCTGACTTAATGAGGCTGAGGACCGTGGAACTGACATGTACAAGAAGAAAAGTTTCTGTTCTTTGTTGCGCTGGATGAAAAGTTTATTCCATCCATGCAACATATTTGAAGGATGGGATGCTTCTTTTACCTGCTTGACTCTCGTACAAACTTGACGTAGTAATGAAATGGAAACTTTATATTTGTGTATAGATTTTAGATCTTTCTGAGGGCTACATCTCCCTAGTGGCATGTACAACTGAAGTGAGGCTAAGAAAGGTATGCCTAGTAGTGGAAAAAAGAGAAAATAACCCTTTGGTTTATAGTAAGAATGACATACTATAAACTACAATCCTTTGAGATACTAGGACTTTTAAGTGTGCACCTAATGTGAAGTTTGTAATAAACTGTGGCAGGACTAATTTTGCTGTAACCCCAGAAGCTGGGGAAAACCACAATTGTATGTTATATACTTGAATACTGCTTGGTGAACGTTGCATCTTGCCTGTACTGATTTGCAAGTGATAATGAAGTACTCAGTGAATTTAGTGTTACAAGGCTCTCCAATTTTGAGTGTTGACTTTAATGGCAAGACAATTCATTCTGACCACAGTTTGATTCCATTTAGGACTAAAGTATAGCAACTCTTAGTTGCTTTGCCCAGAAATCAGAAAGAGTTCTGCAGCTTGAACAAACCTAACAAACTGAATTAGAGCCATAGCTCCCTTCCTTTTTCCCAACTGAAAGACACTCCCTACGCCTACTGGAGTCCCCTTCCCTCCCAAAAGGGACAGAGAGGGAAGGAGTGGTAGGTAGCCTGCATAGAACTGGGTGATTTGGGGCCAGAGCCAGAAGCTCTCTGAATCTTCTCGTAGAGAGGATAATGCATCTAGATCTGTGCTGTCTGATACTGTAACCACTAGCCACATGCAGCTCTTAAAATATGGGCTGGCCCGTGGCTCACTTGGGAGAGTGTGGTGCTGATGACACCAAGGCCAGGGGTTCGGATCCCTATATAGGGATGGCCGGTTAGCTCACTTGGGAGAGTGTGGTGCTGACAACACCCAGTCAAGGGTTAAGATCCCCTTACTGTTCATCTTTAAAAAAAAAAAAAATGGCCATTCTGAATTGAGATATGCTGTGAATGTGAAATACACACTGGATTTCAAAGACTTAGTACAAAAAGAATAATCATTTTTTAAAAATACTGATAATATATATATTTTTTTCCCTTTTTTTTGGTCTTTTTTCGTGTCCGGCAACGGATCGCAACCCTCAGTGTCGCGCCCGTACTGGACCGGGACCGGCAACGGGATCGCAACCCTCGGTGTTGCTCCCACACCTCGCTCAGCCAGTGAGCGGGAACCGGTCTGTATGTGGGATCCGAACCCTCAGCGGGAGCGCCACCGCGCTCCCAAGCGGCGCACTGTAGCAGTGTGCCACCGGGCCGGCCCCAATACTGATAATATTTTTAAATAACTTTTTTTTTTTGTCTTTTTTGTGACAGGTAATGCGCTCAGCCAGTGAGCGCACCGGCCATCCTTATATAGGATCCGAACCCGTGGCGGAAGCGCCGCTCTCTCCCGAGTGCGCCATGGGGCTGGCCCATAAATAACATTTTTGATATATTGGGTTAAATAAAAGATTTTTTTTTTTTTTTTTTTGTCTTTTGTCTTTTTCCGTGTCCGGCAACGGATCGCAACCCTCAGTGTCGCCCCCGCACCGGACCGGGGACCGGCAACGGGACCGCAACCCTCGGCGCTGCTCCCGCGCCTCGCTCAGCCAGTGAGCGGGAACCGGTCTGTATGTGGGATCCGAACCCTCGGGCGGGAGCGCCGCCGCGCTTCCCAAGCGGCGCACTTATCCAGTGCGCCACCGGGCCGGCCCCTAAATAAAAGATTTTAAAGCTAATTTCACCTGTTTCTTTTAAAATTTTTACAAGACCTATAGAAAGTTTAAATTAGAGCATAGTGCTGATAACACCAAGGTCAAGGGTTCTCATCCCCATACTGGCCTGCTTCCAAAAAAAAATTATGTAAGTGGCTCACAATATATTTCTGTAGGACAGTGCTGATCTAGATGGTTTGTAAACCACTGGAGGGAGAGTCCCATGTATTTCTGTATTTGTGGAATAAGAAGAGCCATGGGACTTGTGTAGAGATTTATGAAATGGCACAGCTGAAGGTACCTCAATGTTCTTTTTGTAAGAGCATGCATCATCATTACCTAGATAGGGTCAGAGAATGGATTAAGAGGATGATTACTGAGGCAGCTGAAAGAGCATACATTTTGGAGAAGATTTGGTTTCTTTTAACTCTATGTCTTAATAAGGCATGTGAAGGAAACTGATTCCTCTCAATTTATCATATTTGATTAAATCTAAAATGTGTCTTTTTTTCCGCATTTAAACATCCTAAAATTGGCATGAACCATTCAGTTGATAGGATCCTAGATTCAAAGTCATAAAGTAGATAGAGCCAAGGTTACTTCTTGCACCAGCATTTTATTATTCTGTTACTGGAAGAGAAAATTTATTGTAACTAATTTCAAAAAGCATTAGAGGGCCGGCCCCGTGGCGCACTCGGTAGAGTGTGGCACTTGGGAGTGGCGGCGCTCCTGCCGAGGGTTCGGATCCCATATAGAGACCGGTCCGCTCACTGGTTGAGCGCGGTGTGGGCGCGACACCGAGGGTTGCGATCCCGTTGCCGATCCCGGTACGGGCGCGACACCGAGGGCTGCGATCCCGTTACTGGTCACGAAAAAAGACAAGAAGGCAAAAAGCATTAGAATGTTGTGTTGACACTTAGAAACAGCTTAGTTACTCAGAGCTTTCCTTAGGCTCAACAGAATATTTACTTAAATGGAGGTTTGCTTATATTGATTATAAGTAAAGTACATTCTTTTTTAATTGTTATGACAAATTAAACACAAAAAGAAGAGTATAACGAACCACTATACACCCATCACTAAACTAGGATTGTTAACTCATGGCCAGTCTTGTTTTATCTATAATCATCTGTACTCTCCCCAACCAATGTTTTGAAGCAGATACCTGAAATTGTATGATTCCATTCATAAATATTTTAGTGAGAATCTTTTTTTGATTTTTGGTGACTGGCCAGTAAGCAACCTGTGACCTTGATGTTATCAGCACCACACTCTAACCTCATAAGCAAACCTGCCAGCCTGAGAATCTTTATAAGACAGCAACTTCTTTTTTATTTAAAAGACATAACCCAATTCCAAGAAAAGTATATTATTGGGAAGTACTTTTTTGAATAAGCTAAAATAAGCATTCCGTAATGTTTGTAACTGACTCTTTCTTAAACTTTCTGTTACAAGGGCTGGACGGTCATCTCAGTTGGTTAGAGCGCAGCCTTATAATACTGAGGTCACAGGTTCAGATAACCAGTGCCAGCCAGCCGCCAAAACAAAAACAAACTAAACTTTTTTTTAATGGAAAAATTTAAACACACCTGAAACACTAATAAGTTCCATGTACCCATTACCCAGTTTCAACAATTATCAATTTTTTCACAATATTGTTTCATCTTTATTTTTACCTTTTTTTCCCCGGAGTATTTTAAAACAAATTGCAGACAATAAAATCAACTCTTCAGCACTTGTTGGTATTATTTCCTGTTGTCTTCTAAATTCACAGAATATTATAACTGAACGATCTTATCATCTAGTTGACCTCATTTTACAGATAAGGAAATGGAGAAATAGTTATATTTGCTGGTGTTTTGGAATGATTTTCCTCCCGTAAAATCCTTCAATGTCCATGATCCACTATAAAAATGGAAGGCCCAGCAAGTTAGATGATGCTAACCAATAAATAAGGCAACCAAAAATGGCTCTGCAAGAATCATAAGAGGCTTACTACTTACTGTGGTTAAGATTCTTAATAAGGGCCGGCCCGGTGGCACACTGGATAGTGCGCCGCTTGGGAAGCGTGGCAGTGCTCCCGCCCAAGGGTTCGGATCCCACATACAGACCGGTTCCCGCTCAATGGCTGAGCGAGGCACGGCAGCAACACCGAGGGTTGCAATCCCGTTGCCGGTCCCCGGTCCGGTACGGGGGCAACACTGAGGGTTGCGATCCGTTGCCGGACACGGAAAAAGACAAAAGACAAAAAAAAAAAGATTCTTAATAAAAATAGGGAGCCACCGATCACACAAATGATTAGTGGCAAAGTGTGGGAATTACATTTTTTCATCATTAATTATAGTTCTGTCACCACAGAGGCACTGCTGTGCCATTAATTAATTTTACTATCAGAATTCATTAAAATTTTCCTTTTCTTTGTTGTGTACTAATAATATTCATTGAAATATTTGTTTTATATTGCATGCATAAGCATAATTTTGGAATTTCTTTACATTTTGCTCTGTGCCATATATTAGTTTCTACTCTTAATAAAAATAGGGAGCCACCGATCACACAAATGATTAGTGGCAAAGTGTGGGAATTACATTTTTTCATCATTAATTATAGTTCTGTCACCACAGAGGCACTGCTGTGCCATTAATTAATTTTACTATCAGAATTCATTAAAATTTTCCTTTTCTTTGTTGTGTACTAATAATATTCATTGAAATATTTGTTTTATATTGCATGCATAAGCATAATTTTGGAATTTCTTTACATTTTGCTCTGTGCCATATATTAGTTTCTACTGAGACATTTGTCTATAGGTACTGTGCTTTGTCTGAACTAATTAATTCCTGTGTGGAATTAATTCAAATGAATGCAACTTCATTTTATTTCATGGCTTGCTTTTTGGTTACCCATATTCACAAAAATACAGTACTTCATATGTGGTGTGGGACTTCATGTACCAATAAGTTTAATTTTGTTGCTTGTTCTTTTTTGGTACCCATTGACATGAATATGTTTCTTCTTAGCTTTATGGTTTTATACTCTTTTATTAATAGAATTTTACTGCAGAGTATACTATATTTATATGAATAATTTTCCCCTTACCAAACCACTTTAAAACTGCTTTCAGTACGTGCACAATGAAACAGTTAATTTTTTCTTAAAATGTTTCTTTATAATGTTTGGATATGTCTTATATACCAGCAAATATGGCAGGTTACTTGCCCAAGTAGTATAATGAGAACTAAAATCAATATCATTCAGTAATCTTTTTTGTTTTAAAGATGACCGGTAAGGGGATCTTAACCCTTGACTTGGTGTTGTCAGCACCACGCTCATTCAGTAATCTTTTTTGTTTTAAAGATGACCGGTAAGGGGATCTTAACCCTTGACTTGGTGTTGTCAGCACCACGCTCATTCAGTAATCTTTTTTGTTTTAAAGATGACCGGTAAGGGGATCTTAACCCTTGACTTGGTGTTGTCAGCACCACGCTCACCCAGTGAGCGAACCGGCCATCCCTATATGGGATCCGAACCTGTGGCCTTGGTGTTATCAGCACCGCACTCTCCTGAGTGAGCCACAGGCCGGCCCCAATATCATTCAGTAATCTTTCAGAGTATAAAGGAAAAGAAAATAGATGGCTTGCTAGGGTAATGGTATTCCTTCTTTCTTTCTTTCTTTTGCTTTTAGTCTGGGTTAGTTTTTTCAGTTAATATATTTTTTTTTAACATCTGCAAAAGAAAAATCCTGTTTGAGTTCTATTAATAGTTTAGTAAGTACCCAATCAGCTTATTTTTTCATCAACTCTAAATTGGTGGCTAATTTACATGGCGGTTTGTAGTTTTACATGTTTAAATGATAATCTGATTAGTTAGCTCTTTTTCTGCTTTTCAGAGGTAAGTTACCTTTCTCTACTGAAGTGACAGTTGTACATTCCTAATTGCTTTTGTGCCCAAAATTCATGAGGGTATCTGTAATCTAGAGTGTAATTATATTAAAATCTGAGTTAACCTTTCTTGAAAGTGACATTTTTTCAGTCTCATTCCAATTATTGCATAGCTTTTATCTATGTCTTAGGTGATAGGAATGCTTCCAGAGACTGGCTATTTTTTATTTGTTCTGATTTTCGTTCTTAATCTTATTTTCTCCTCATCCTCCTCATCCCTCACAGCACTTACAACCTTTTATTCTGTGGTTCCTGTGGGACTCCCATTGGTTTCCATCTATATTCTACCCATGCTGCCCTGGCTGCCTTGAGAGGTCACTTCAGCCTTTTCAGTGACAAAATGGTGTGGTGAGTAGACTTAGATATTATTTATCAAGTAAATTTTAAATGATCTTTCAGAAAAGATAAAGTGTACCAAAGAAGATGCTAATGCCAGGGGCCGGCCCGTGGCTCACTCGGTAGAGTGCGGTGCTGACAACACCAAGGCCACGGGTTCGAATCCTATATAGGGATGGCCGGTTTGCTCACTGGCTGAGCGTGGTGCTGACAACACCAAGCCAAGGGTTGAGATCCCCTTACCGGTCATCTTTAAAAAAAAAAAAAAGAAGATGCTAATGCCAGGCATTGTTTCTTACAAAAAAGATAGCAGTGGGACTAAAGTATCTTATAACATTACAATCATTTTAGATGTCTTATAATCATACCAAGGCTTAATAATCATACCATGGAATAATTGAGAGGGTATTCTTTTATTAAAGAAAATTCTGAGGCTCGCTATTTAGCTCAGTTGGTTAGAGCAAGGAATTATAACCCTAAGGTCAAGGGTTTGGATCCCCATACCAGCCAGCTGCCATAAATAAATAAATAAATAAATAAAATTATGGAAGGTAAGCTTTTTTTAAAAAAGATGACCAGTAAGGGGATCTTAACCCTTTACTTGGTGGTGTCAGCTCCACATCTCCCAAGTGAGTGAACCGGCCATCCCTATATAGGGATCTGAACCCATGGCCTTGGTGTTATCAGCACCACACTCTCCCAAGTGAGCCACGGGCCGGCCCTATGGAAGGTAAGCTTTTGCAAAATAATGTTGCAGTAGACACCTTTGGGGTTTGTGCCCAGCCTGTTTCCCTCCCATAGGGTGGGACCTTCTAGCCATGTTTGTATCATGGGTGATACCACTTCCAGGTATGGGATCAAGAACAAATACCTGACCAAGTTAAGCCAATCAGGTTTTCTACCCTAGGAATTGGAAATAAGGGAGATGCTAGTCATTTTTAGATGACTGGTGCTGAAGTTGGGAAGTGAAAGCTCTAGGTTTGGGGCAGCTCTTTTCTGTGTTACACATGTAAATGCAGAGAAATCTTGTCTGCAGAAAAAGAATGAAGCAGATGCACAGAGAAGAATAATGATCACATGGCCTCACATAGTCAGAAAAGTCCCCTATTGGCTATATCTTTTCATGATTAACATTGGGTATTTCTTTATATTTCTAATAAATTAAATTTTTTACTTAAGTTTCTTTGTTTACTATTGGAAACTGAAACATCCATCAAAGTCTTTCCTTGACCATTTAAAAACAAAAACAAGAATAGCCATGATGACCTAGTTTGTGCCAGGCGTTATGCTTACTTTACTGAGTTCTTAATATAAGAAAACTGGGACTCAGAGAGGTGGAGGAACTGAGATTTGAATCTGTGTCTTAACTCCAAAGCTTATTTTCCTTTTACAGAACATAAAGGTTTTCTTTTCCTCATTTAATGTGCTTAGATAGGTGTTTACAGCTGAGTTATGGTTGACTAAACAATAAAACTTTACAAATAAAGTCCATCCTTTACCATAAGGTTGTCCAGTGTACATTAGGCATACCATTTGTTCTTCATTGCAGATTTCTAACAGGAAATATATACTTGAGATGGATTGATATTTTACTTTACATTCCTAGTGTTTTCTTAAGTAATTTCTATTTAGAATTAAGTTTAAAGAAGGAGGGGAAGTTGCTGTAAATGTTTTATTAGTAACCTCATATCTTTTTTATTTTCATTTTTTCTGACCGGTAAGGGGATCGCAACCCTCGTCACAGTGTCGTCTGCAGCACTGTCAGCCAGTGAGCGCACCGGCCATCCCTATTATAGGATCCGAAACCACAGCCTTGGTGCCACCAGCGCCGCACTCTCCCGAGTGAGCCACAGGGTCGGCCCATCAAATCTTTTTTAGAAACAGATATAAGTAAATGTCCCAGAAGAGCTATAATTGCATTTTTGCAGTAAGAAGTATGCTTTTAGTAACAACAACAACAATAGTTTTGTTTTTAGTAACAAATGTTTTTAACATAAATTTGAAAAACATGATGGGATTATGAGTCATTTCTTAATTTTTTTTTTTTTTTTGGTGGCTGGCTGGTAGGGGATCCAAACCCTTGACCTTGGCATTATAATACGCCACTTTAAGCAACTGAGCTAACCAGCTAGCCTCTCTTAATCTTTAAAATGAGGAGTTGGATGAAAAGTCAGTACATTCCTTTTAAGTAGAAACTAGGAAAATATAGGTGGCATGAGTCTGGGAAGATAATAAATCTATGTCTGTGTGTGTCAGTTAGAATGAATTTGGTTGCCAGTAACAAAAAACCTGACTAACAGTGGCTTTAACAAGTAAGAGGTGAGGACAGTTGCCTGCTCCAGGAGTATTCTAGTGGCTCAATCATAACAGGGCTCTGGGTCAGCATCTGTGATTCTCTTGGCCTTTTCCTTTTGGATGCAAGATGGCTGCTGCAATTACAAGCATTACATCTATCAATGGTAATATCCCCAGTAGAAAGTAAGAGGATATGGGGAGTATGGGAACACAAAGAAAATTTTCTTTTTATTGGCAAAAAATTTCCTTATTCTTATTGGCCAGAACTATGTCACATGAACACTTTAAACTGAGAAAACGAATATATGACTATAGGCTTGTCACTGTTGGCTTAGTGCAGTTATGATTTCTCTAGTAGGACTGGGCACCCTGCTACCCTTGACAAAATTTTGCTTCTGTTAGCAAGTAAGTAGTGAGAAATGGTTACTGGGTAGGCAACCAACACTATTTGTCACAATGTGGTTCCTTTGAACTGTGCTACAGAATGTACTGGTGGAGTGTGAAGCTTATACTCATCGTGATTATTCATAAAACCCTGGTTTTTGTCTTCAGTTTGCCCTGGGATAATTTTGTCTCTCCGAAGGGGTAGGATGAGGCAGAGTCTCTGATTTGTTTATTGATAATTTGTTGTTTCAGCAATATACATCATGAGTCTTGAAATGGATCTCAGAAAGGCAAGCTTTGCTTGAGAGAGGCAAATTTGGTTCACTGACAATCTTAATTGTGGTATGATACTAATATGCTCACTCTGTATTTTCTGTCTAGCTATCTCTTAAAAACAAAAGCCATAGTAAATGCATCTGAGATGGATCTTCATATTGTACCTCTACCAGAAAAGATTGCAGAGGTAAAATTTCATGATGATTTTATTGTTCCTTTAATATAGACAACTCTTGATAATTTGTACCAGTGAACTTGGGGGTGATGAAATCATGTGATACTCCAATAATCCGTTATATTTGGTTTGGCCTTTCTTACGGAATCACACAAAGCAAAATATTAAAGCCATATTGTAAGGGGATAGTTCAGAAGGAGGGGAGAAGCTGCTGAACTACTTCATTTTTGTATTCTCCTTTGTGCTGGGAATGGACATCATCATCTTGCATAGAGCTGTCCTCTTTACAAGCACCTTATGCTTAACATGTCTTAGAGGAAAGAGTAATAAAATAGTTATTAAGAATTCTTATTTAAATGGGTTTCATGAGTGGTTGATTACTTTGAGTTGAAGAAAGCAACTTTTCTGGTAGCTTGCTGCCTCATTCTGAGTGAAAATTTGGCAATAACTTTATGCCCTCAGAACCACCTTAGAAATCATTGTTGGGTGCTGGCCAGCTGTCCCCCCATCCCACCCCCAAAAGGAATTAATTAATTGTTGGCTTTTTAAAAAAAATAGTGTTAGGCCGGCCCGGTGGCGCACTGGATAAGTGCGCCGCTTGGGAAGCGCGGTGGCGCTCCTGCCCGAGGGTTCGGATCCCACATACAGACCGGTTCCCACTCACTGGCTGAGCGAGGCGCGGGAGCAGCACCGAGGGTTGCGAT